AATATTATGTTCCATTTCCTTTTTGCAGTCAAATATCACCAGAAAGGTCAGGTATTAGGATACTTTTACGTCAGCAGGAGCGTGTGCAGAAGTTGTCAGATACGAGACGCCAACCTTTGATGCTTTAAATTTATGGGAAGTACAGTACAGGCTTGAGGTTTAATGTATCTGAAGGAGAAATTACAAAGAAATATGAAAAAGGCCACATCGCCCCAACAAAGACATTTATTAAAACACCTCACGTAAAAAAAAAAAAAAAAAGAAAAAAGGGGGGAACAAAGTCCCAAAAGAAATTACCTCTAAAATGTCAAACATGTAAGAAGGTCATACCTGAGGATATAATACATTTTAAATATCATAAACAAATGGTAATAGTACAACTGCCTCGACTTTAAAGGATAAGAGGGTAATTATAAGAAGCAGTGGTTTTACCTGACCTTTGATTCCTTTTTTTCTTTTGACTGAAATATCAAGTGATGGTGTGTAAATGAAGAGCTCTACTGAAGAGTTGTGAAATTTAGACATTATGCGCCATTTTCCCACTGTTACATCTAAAGTCCTATAGTCCCTTAGACATCATACATATACATAATGTACAAATGACGGTATAATATATGACGACAATAACTGACGAATCAGAAAGTGTAAGATTTTGTCAGCTCTGTATGCAAAAAAGTTAGGACATTAAGGCAATGGTTTGAAAATTGCTTCAAGTTTGGGTTTAGTTAAAAAATGAAATGATTCAGTATAAGAAGAGCATCACAGAGATGCCAAATCTTTCATGAGTAGAGATGCGGGAGGGGTTCATCATTCATAAAACTCAGCAGTCAACATAAAATTGCAAATAATTTGGACGTTTATCATCTGAAATCCAATACTGAATTAAGTTAGGGTCCTACTCAGACACGCTGCACTAAAACCAGACATGATTCTGTAGTAGAAATCATTGCATACACTCAGGAAGAGTTTTAAAAACCATCATCAGTAAACATAGTTTGCAAGTTAAAACTCTACCATGCAAAGAAATGAATTTACAAATGAGGCACATAAATGATGCCAAAATCTGGTTCACTGAATCAAAATGAAAAATTATTTTTGACAATTATGGTCACCACATCAAATGGGAAGGAAGCACTAAATTCGCTTTTGTTCAATTCAGTTGTATTTGTTATCAGCAAGCACTTGGTGACAGTGGGAAGGATAAACTCTCTTTTAAAAGGAAGAAACTTCTGGCAGAAACAGGTTGTGACCGGTTGAAAAGTGAGGGAGGAAAAGGGAGAGTATAGAGAGATGAGGACAAAACAAACCATGTAAAAGAGTAGACAAAATGCAATGACATACAGAAGGGGTGTATAAATATATCAAGAGTGAAAGGAAAAATTGCTCAGAAAGTCCCCCAGCAGCCTGAACCTACAGAAGCACAACTAAGGGATGGTTCAGCCTCACCTGATCCAGATCTAACTCTATAAGCTTTATGAAAAAGTAAAGTTTTAAGCCTAATCTTAAAGGTAGATCTATCTCCCCACAGCTTTTTATCAGTGCACAGTGGAGCATTAGTTCCCATCGCATGGGTAACATTAAAGTCTGTAAAGATCCATGAAGCCTGACCGTGTATAATGGTTTTAGAGCAACACATGGTGGCAACCAGATGACTTTTTCAGGAAACAAAGACGCTGCTAAACCACATTCTGCACATTACAACAGCATGATGTAGTAAAAGTACCCAGGTGTTAAGCTGGCCTGCCTGCATCTCAGACCTGCTATTCATTACAAAAACAAACAAACATTTAGAACATTGTTAAATTAAAAGCCCAACAGTTCAGGGAGACCCTGTGCAGCCGAAATCCCATAACCAGAAAAAAAGTAAAAAACATTTGCTTTAAAAACAACACTTGGTCTCTTTAGAGTGTTAAGAGACAGGTAATCCAACACCATGCATATAAACATGAAGTTGTTGTTAGCAATAAAGTGATATAAATCTTTTAGATTTTTCCAAATATATAAAAACAATCAAAAAAATCAGTTTACTTTAGTTTCATTTGCAAATCAATGCATTCTTGCATGCATTCACATTGTACTCAGCTTTAGGTATTTAGGCGCTTGCACAGTCTCACTTTGCTTTTGTCTAAAATCTGATTGATAAAGTGATTTTTTTTTTTTAATCTTATGAAACATGATGGTTGCTTTCAAGTACAGAAGTAATTCCATTACAACATTATAGCTAATCCAATTAACAGAAACTCATCAGTCTTCATCGTCTTCATTGCTGATCTGTGAATGATTACAAACTGTTAACACACTGCAGTGTTTAAATGCTATTCTCTCACCCAGTAGGAGCTTTATAGTTCCAATAGTTGAAATTATGCAATCTGTAAAAATGCAATTAAGCCAATAATAATAATGGATTGGATTTATATAGCAAGGCACCCAGAGCGCTTTACAATGCCACTATTCATTCACTCTCGCATTCACACACTGGTGGAGGCAAGCTACGGTTGTAGCCACAGCCAGAGATTGACAGAAGCAAGGCTGCCATATCGCGCCATCGGCCCCTCTGGCCAGCACCAGTAGGCAGTAGGACACAACAACCAGGACAGAGAGCGGGGATCGAACCAGGATCAAACAGTGTTGCCTCCAACATGTATTTGTTGTTGCCTCCAATACTCGTAATCTTAATTTTTCAGTGTTTACTTTATCCGCAGCTCTAAAGGCTGGATTCAGAAAAATCCCTCTTTTTTTTTTTTTTTCCCCCCCCCCCAAACATTACCATTAAATTGGGAAATTGTGCACATAACAGGGCCGATCAGCCAGTTCTTGCAAATTGTAACAAGCAGGCTTCTTGAAGATCAGCGCTGCGTATAAGGCTGTAACAGTTTGAACTGTGAGGAATACAGTCTTTTCTATCACAAACAAGCATAAGGTTGCCTTTAGAAGCTTCGCCTGGAGGCAGAATGTGAATACTTTTGCTGATTTCGCATTCCGTGTGATACATGTTTTCCTTCATGTCTGTCCCACAGAGGATGCCCACTGGTATGAGACAAGTGATGGCCGTCTCATGCTGATGATCTCGGCAGTAGCTGTAGCTCTTGTGGTGTTCATCCTCTCGATGATTGTATTCCTGTGCCGCAGAGCCAAAGAGACCAAGACCAGCAAGGGACCCATGTAAGAAACAACTGCGTGTTTGTGTCTTGTCATCTTAAGTCTTCACTTTTTAGATGTGATCTTTTTGAAGCGTGTTTACAATTTGATGGATTGTATGTCTTCAGTGCAAGAGAATGTTTGTGCTTGTTTATCTAGTCACCCTCCCCCTCCTGTTACCCAGAGGATAGCTTTTTAAATGATTACAGCAATTTCCACAAAATTTCACTCTGTCTAGTGTGATATCATGTGAACCAAAGTCATTTCAGTCACCGTGTAAGTGTAGGTGTGTGCGGCAGTGTGCACCTTGGTGTATGCTTCACTCTCTGACTGTTCTCTCAAAAGAAAAAGAGAGGATGGGGAAAAAAAAAAACTTTACATATGTGCCGACTTCCACCTATTTGAAAAGACATTTACCATCATGAATATTAAATTCAATCTCAGAAGCCCTGATCCACTTGACCTCATCCTTGATCTTTTTCGTCCTCCCTTTGCTCCCATGCGTTTCCACGCACTTCCTACTCGCCAAAGGCTCGGGCTTATGACAGTAGGTTAAATTCTCTGTCTAGTGTAAAAGTATAAAGAAGGCTACAGCAATTATAAAGAAATTAGTGGAACTCCCATTAATCGTGAAAGCTGACAGTGCCTTAATGTGCACCGTGACCCAATGTAGCTTTACCCATTAACTTCTTTTCCATGTAGATTTAAAAAAAAAAAAAAAAAAAACAGTTACAAAAGGCAGAATTTTCACAAGATTCTACAGCAATCAGAAGTTCTGCATGTTTGTAGTGGCCTAAAAACAACTACTAAACTTTACAAACCTGTGCTGAGTATACAAGCATGTGTGTACAAATAGATACAGATAAGAGAGGATAATGTACTTTCATATCAGCAGCCAGGTGCGCTTCCAGTGCTTGGTTCTAGTCTATAATTTCCTCACTTATACCTTTCGAGCACCTACTGAGAGATCGATATACTGATAATCATGCTCGTCTTTCTTCTCCTTTCTTCCTCTCTCCAGTGATGACCGGTCTCAGAAAAAGCCAATCTACAAAGCAAGCTCGGAGTCCCTACCCTCCACCTGCGGAGACAATCAACCTCTGGTGTAACTGCAGAGGCAGGTGGAAGGAGAACGGATGAAAGGATGGAGCGAGAGATGGAGTTGTTGTCCATAAAAAAATAAAGAATGTCATAAAGCAGTAAATGGGTATATTGGGAGACATTATAGGGCAGAGTACAATAAAAATCAGCAACAAGCGGGGTATTTAAAAAAACAAAACAAAAAAAATCAACTGAAGGGCAAGTGATTGCTTTAGAGATGCCTGAGCAGCTTGGCTTGTGAGCGCACGCTGCAGTTCTGCATCTTGGACAGAAAGGTGGGCAATTTTCCTTTCATGTATACTGCAGCGTGAAAAATGGCGGGCTACGTTCTTAGAAAATGATGATGAGGATTCTACTCGCAGCGCTATAAAGATGCTCCATTCAGTTTTCTTCTTTTAGTTGCACACATAATTGCTCAGCTGTGTATTGTGAATGAATCGTTTGGGTGATAGGACAAGGTTTTATGTTGTTGATTTGTTTCTCTTTCAACCTTCATGTTTTCCAAAGCGGAACCAGCTCAAAGAGTCTTCGAGAAGGTTATTGTAATCTCTTTACTGTGACAGCTCTCAAGCACATTGCACTCGGATATTTAATTTAATGTAGTTGGGATTTTCTGTGGTATTAAATGGCTTTCAGAAAATATTATTTACCATCCTCCAGTGTGCCATTGATTTTGTTCCATTTAAGAGACACTAAAGGGGGTGAGGAGTATTGACAACATGGTAAGAGCCGGACATGCATGCTTGCTTGGCCGCACATCCTCTCCATCCAATGCCATCTCGAGCTCGCATCAGCTTGTTTACCAACCTTCCTCTTCGGTCTGAAAGACCTTACTTTGAAGCGATGACCTTTACTCAGAGTACTGTGCATGTGCATTCTTGCCTCTATTCCCATCTGCCCGTAAGCAGAGAACTCAGCCCTCAGTCAGTTTGTATACACGTGTATGGACTTGCATTCACAAACTAGAAACTCTCATAATGTGAATAATCACATTGGCAAGTAACCTTGAAAGCTTTCCCGTCAGTTGTAAGGGCAGACAGTGTTGGCCATTACAAGTAAGTTCTATTTTAACTAGACTAGATTAGTCTTCTCTGTCTCCCACCCAACCCCTCCCCAAAAAAAGCATCACAGACTACAACTTCATCTTTTTAATTTTCTCCTCTGTTGCCTTGTAACCCTTAACGCTGTGCCTCACCACCACCACCGCTTATTACCATAACCGTGCTCATAATGCTGAGAATTTCATTACGCTTGTCTGTTGAAGTTATGTTGGGTTTTATGCGGTTTTTATTATCGTGTGTGGTTGACCGTAGGCCGTTGTTAATAATGGGCAAAGCGGCAGTTTAACACTGACACTCCATTAACGGGTGCATGCGCCACAGAGCACAGCCAGGATAATGTTATTAAACTGATTATTCAAGCCCCCTGTACAGCTCAGCTCTGCAGCAGCAGCCTTCCTTTGTTTAGCATTTTACAGACTCCTTGTATTTCTTCTCCAACTCTACAAACTTCTGCTTGCTTTATGTCTGAGGTCAACCCAAGGAATGTGGAAGCATCAGACAGGGAGACTATAACCAAAACAGAAAGACTTAGGGGGGAAAGAAACATGCTTCATAGGGGGGAGAAAAAATACAATGTTGTGAATTTAAAATGCTCTCCTGAATGTTAAATGCCAGTGAGCACCATTTCGTTTTGGCCTTTGAGTCAGTCATGAGTAAATCATTCTGTGCTCCCTTGTGGATTTTGGTCTTGGGGCTTCTGATGTGTGGCCAAAAAAAAAAAAAAAGAGACACAAAATTATGTATCAGGAATTTCACACACTGGAGCTTTCCCTGAGGTACAATGCTCTGGTCGGGAGAGAGGGAAGTGAAGTTTACAGTGACATTTTGACCTTGACAGTGTCTCGATGGATAAAGCACCGGACAACAGCTTAGGTGCTGTGCAGTGCATACAGATTTCCTAAAAGTGTTTTGTCTGGTGCACGCAAGGTCCTGTCCGGATAAGGATGCAGATCTGTACTGTGGCATTAAAGCTAAATAGCTCCTCACTTATGTCCGCAGTTTGTCAAGTACCCTAGCTGCCCTTAGTGCACGCAAACCAATATCTAAAGGTGACTTATACCAAACGTGACACCGCACTGACTAATGCCTTACAGTGCCAGGCATTTGTAACACTGTGTCATTGACTACTGCTGTTCCCGTCACGGTCACTTGAGTTTGTATGTGCATTCTGCATATGTTGTGTCAAATGGCTGAAAATGAAGGAGTGGAGTTCGCAAGAGAAGCAGGTGTTTTCCCCTCATTACTTCCTGACAATGCCCCATCTGGTGCGGGGGAGCTGCTGCCACAGACTCCCTGCCAACCCGGGAACAAACACTCGCAGAGAGGCTGACAGGGAAAAATGGGATGGGATGGGAATTGGGAAATGAGTAGGGCAGATATTATCCTCGCCAAACAACAAGGTTAAAACTTGTGTCGAGTAATAAGATCTCTCAGTGGAGAGACCCCGAAGCGGGGACCTTAAGATCTAACACAGATCCATTAGTACAGGTTAGCTAAGGGGTAAGAGTTCAAAGCAACTTTATGGGAGTCAAGAGTAGAAATATTAATATTAATACAGACTGCCCAGGTGCTCTGGCTGCTTGAACTTTCCTGACTGTTCAAACTAAACTGACCAAAGTGTCTGGAGGACTTGTCAGAAGAGGCGGAAGCAGATTTAAGACGTGTGACGTGCCATCCCTGCAGTTACCTGAGAGGGGCGCCAAAGACACAGTTTCAAAAAGATGCCTTCAAGCCGTGGATGCTATAAGTCCATAGTAAACACTAGATTAGAGGGGGGACAAAAAGAGATGTGGAGAGAGAAACAATTTTCATAATGGACCAGCGCTCTCTGACTGGAAAACACAATTATGGGCAAACTGTGGCCGCAGCATGAGGGTAAAGTTAAAGAGCCCCTTTAGCACGACTTAATAAGCCCTGACTACAGATGATCAGAAACACCGGCTCATCCTTAGCCCAAGTTTTTGTTCCGAGCTATTACCATCATTGTAAACGGTGATTTAACAGCTTACACTCAGGTCTGTTTCTTGTTCTTCTTGATGAGTCCTATGCACATTAATTGGATTCAAAGCAGCCTCTGCAACAGAATTGAATCTCAAACTACCCAGAGGCTACTGCTTGGACTGATTTGGCACTGAGTTTCACGGAGTTTCTACCACCAAATAGTCAAACGGTAATTTCAAACGAAGTGCCATCTTTCAAATGATCGCGTTTCTTAAGCTGCGTTTCCCTCCCTACAGTCAACTTTACATTTTTTGCACCACTTGTCCCTAAATTTGAACAATAACAACCATTCATTTCCGTCATCTTAATCAGCGTGCCTTGCATCTTTTAAGTCCTTGGGGTGGAATTTGAAATAAATTGGTTATTTGAGTCGGAAAATTAATGCTGGTTATCAATCACATTTAGAGCGAATTGATTTCAATTAACTGGAAGACGCAGCCCCTCTTGCCTCCCCGGCTCTCCTCCTGGATAGCCCATTTCTTTTTTTTAAACCCAGCCCCTTGCTCACATCCGCACACCCCTCCACCTGCTCCTGCTCTCTGCAATTGGCTAGAAAGACATCCAGGACCGCCCAATTGGCAAGCTTTACAATATATTTACAATGTAAAGTAACCAAGAAAAACCGGCCAAGCCGTCATATTCGGGGATTCAGAGGGAGAGAAAGTGGGTGTGTATGAGAGGGGAGCATTACTATGTAAAGACCTGCTATTACGCTCGGAAAGCCTAACAAAGCACACATTCGTTCACGCACAGTCGCACGCGCGCGCCCTGTCACACACACACACGCGCGCGCACACACACATAGACGCTAAAGGCGCTGTCGGAGGGTGAACCTGCGGGTTCATGTCACTCTGATTTCTCAAAGGAAGAGGAATATTAAGAAAGATATCAGAGGGGAATACCCGCGATGGCTTTCGCGACCGTGTGGAACTACTGCGTCCCTCTAACCATCGTAACAGTGGCTTGGCTGCTCAACACTGGTAAGGCTCAAATGAAAGTGAACGAATGTGATGTGAATGGGAAGAGTGTCACGCCGTCTCGATGTGTTTGGGCTTTTCTGTGCAAGTTTATCTAAGTCCTCTAAGTAGAAGCTGAATAACGCTTAAAATGCACCGGGTCCACTCTGACTTACTGTGCACTTGGACGGGAAGGAGGAGGAGCGCACCACGGAGCAAAACACGTGCAGATGTGCCAGTTTACTGTTGTTTTGTGGACTGGTGTTAATATTTCTCAGTGGGTAATTAGAGTCAATGCCCTTTGCGGAAGCCGGGGCTGTATTGTTACATGGATATGAGTCATTGTCTTAATCACATGTCGGAACTGCTACGCTGGGAAGACCCCTAAAATGTCAAGTCGTTGAAAAGAAAAGTGAAAGGTGGCCACTTTTTTTTGACCATGCATGAATATTTAATGAAAGAAGCCAATGCTCTCTCAACCCTTGTGCGTCACAGAATTTACATTTTCTCCTGATGTTGGGATTCATTTTATTACAGCTGTTGTCTGTTTCGGAATGGGAAATGGGAGCCTGTGATTTATGCAGCCTGTGAATGCAGCGACACACACAGAGCTCCGATTAAATATTCTCATAGAACACACGAGAGCTCATAACAAATGCCCGCAGTGGACCAGACATGTCTCAGACACACCAGCAGCGGCAGTGGTGTTTGTTACTGCTTTTATATTCTGGAGAAGGGTGAGGGACTGTAAAGACCTTTGAGCCTCCCCCTTATCAGCTAAAATAACATCTAACAATGCTTTACAGCAACTTGTAACAGTACCTGTAGTGTTTTGTATTGCTTTTATCACCGTCACTGGAACACTTCAGGTTGGGATAGTCCTGCTTTACTTCTTTTACACAGTAGTTGGCTAGTTATGGTCACTCAGTAGCTTCTTAAGTGCCACATTTGCAAAATATGGGGATTTGGATTAGCCTCTGAAGAACTTCAGCTGGATATCTTTGTGGGATTTGTTTGGATGCAATTTGAAATAAAACTTTCAAAAAGAAAAGTCCATCTGAAGCCTCTGTGATTTTGACTAAGGAGGATTGATGATGACAATGTGCACATAAATGTTGCTCTGCTGGTTTGTGTCCTGTGGCTGTTGCACTCTGTGACCCCTTGTTTATGTTGTCCTGAGGCAGTGAAATAGTTAAGTGCTTGGTGAGGCATGGACACACTCAAACCTGAACGGTGCTGTTATGTTGATGTCTCTTGTATACAAGAAGAACTACCTTACCAAAGCCATTTTTGTGGCTGCACTAATACCGACCTCACCAGACCCAGTATATTGATAGATATTGATTTTTTCCTTTGGAGAAAGTGTGTGTGTTTGTGTGTATGTATGTGTTTAATGAACACTGGGTGGTTAAGGTATGCATGAGCTATAGGTATTTGTATGTTGTTCTCACTGTGTATGGGGTTTGTGTTTGTGGGTTTGGGCACCCATCTATGAATATGTGTGTGTGTTGCAAGTAAGTGCTTTACATTAGTGTGTGTGCATGGGCGTGCGTGCTGCGTACAGTGCAGGGTTTTGCCTAAGCTGCAGGCAACCTCAGCTGGGGGCTGCTCACTGATCACTGTCATTAATCTAGCCTCTGACAGGGGCTGAGAGAGACAGGAGGCTGGGGAGTTTAGGGGTGTTACAGGCATAAGGTCGGTGGAGAAAGGAGGGAGATGAGGTAGAGTAAAGATGGTCTGTTTCTAAAAACCTTGCAGATGTGCACCGATGCTGTTTCTGCATTAGGAAAAAAGAGATTTAATAAAGATCTTGTCTCGGTTATTTTTCTTCCACCAATCTGAAAGAAGGGAAAGGTGGGAGGCTATAGAGGGTTGGCAGTTGTTATTATGCTAGAATAGATATGGACAAACTGGGTGGATAGATGGATGAGTGGACAGATAGATTGAGAGGTTGCTGTGACGATAGCGAGGCTGGAAGACTTGGCGCTTCTGTGAAGGATGAGGGAGAGACAGAGGGATGGAAAGATGGATAGAGGAAGAAAGGCAGAAAAGAGCGAGGGAGCGAGGAAAAGTGAGAGAAGAAAGGCAGAAAGACTTCACAGTGTGTCTGACGGGCAGGCCTGAGGGACATGCACACACAGTCAGTGCTGTATGTTTGTGCGCAGATTGCCTGGCTTTGTGGAGGTGTCTGATCAACAGCAGCTGCAGGCCAAACTTGCAAAGCACGTACAGTAACAAATGCTGTTAACTCCACCTCTGCTTCGTGCCCACCCTTAATCGCTACCCTCCATCACTTCCATTCTAACAACTCATCCCCATTTCTCTCCTATGCCGCCATTACCACCTCCCTTATCGCAGTGTGCATTAAATCACCTCCATTTGTTTATTTGAATGTGTGCAATGAGAGCCATCCGTTTGAGCTTGTTCCCCATCATCCTGTTTGGACCTTGGCTGGGACTCTGGTGGCTGAAAAACGGCAGCAGTTGGACGTACTTGTGGGAGGAGATTTGAATACCAATTATAGCTGGTGTGTGCAAGTGCGCGTGTGCATATGCACACACACACACTCAAACACTCAGTGAAGCCATGCATAAATCAATGTCGCTGTGAGTCACAGAAGGGAGGTTTGGCGTGTAAACACAAGCATCAAGGGAAATGCAGTACCCACAAAAAAGAAAAATATGGACACATACTATATGATCACTCAAATAAATGCAGGAACGCATATGAACATCCACACACATCTTGCCTATAGACAGCTTACCTGTTTTGAACATAGTTATATTACTGCTTATGCAAGAGTTTGTCTGAACTCAAGTGCAGATTTTGATGCTTGTCAGGCACAGTTTGCATCATTCCAGAGTTAACGTTGCCTTTTTACTTTCTTCCACGTTACATTGGGCTTGCTATTTCAGCATCTTTGTTTTTTAATGTGCTGAAAATGTCTTCACCGTGAGCCAAGGTTTATCCTTTGATCCAAACCTTGGAGCATAATTTTCCCCGTAAATAAGATAAACTTCTTGGCAATTTAATTATGAAGACCTAGACCTCCCTTCTTTGCTCTCTGCCCTGCCATCTGCTGGTTCAAGGTGAATATCTAAAGCCCAGTGCACAATCAGATTTCAGCGTTGAATTCTTTTCCCCCTCAGATTCCCTGCTTTTTGTAGGTCGAAATAATTGGACAACCTGAACTTGGCAGACTATGCCTGTCAACAAAGAAGAAGCTGAAAGGAGCTTTTCTTTAAGGAAAAATATGCTGCCTGTTGCTGCTGTGCGTGGCCATGTTTGATCAACCAGGGCATTCTTAAAGGGTCCTGACAGGGTGGCCCACTATCTCGGCTGAACAACTGGCTCAACATAAGCTCCATAAACAAATTGGACTGTATCACTTTTTGGGATAGTCACAACTGAAAGAGTTACAGAGCTCAGTGTGGGCTGCTTTTATTCTCCCTTGGGCTTTCATGGGTCCATTACTCAGAAGCAGAGGTTTCGAGGTTCACCATTTAGTACAGGTGATGTATTTTACAGTAATTATCTCCTAATCTGCCCTCCAGTCTTCTGTGCAATCCATAATTCATTTGTTTTGATCTGCGGTTGCTTCACACAATAAATACATTTCCGTAACTTCTTCCAGTATTATATACCAGGTTCAAAAAGGATTTTGTTTTCACTTGAATAGAAATAAAAGGACCTAGGAAGGAGCAAGTTCCTCTATATCCCTGCAGGGACACATCATATGACTAAGCGTTCCCCTTTTCAGCCTTTTTTCAGCTCTTGTTTTCACTCTGCTGCGTCCTCACGAACAAGTTCATGCAAACAGAACACATGAAGTACAATGATTGAAAGGGGCACACAAAGACGCCAATTGGTAATTGGATCCTTATATCTCATTTGACCATTTGTTTAATCGTCCATTAGTGAAACTTTCTGTCAATCTAATCAGGCCAGCACTAATGTAGAAACACTCTTTATGGCTGCCACCTCATCTCCTTCCCATTACTATTCCCCAGACAGTGCAGCTTGTGATTATCATAATGGTGATCTATGTCGTCCTTACGTGTCGCTCTTTGAGAACAACTGGCGTTTCACCAACTTTGCAGCTGAAGTTTTTAATGCTGACTCGGATGCCAAGGACGTCTCCTCCATTTGCTGGCATTCGAAGCCTGCCAATCAATCTGATACTCTTAACTCTCTCTGAACTGACTGGCCCAGTGCAAAAGTAGATCGCCTCTTTGGGTCCAGCTGCCCATGCTGCGACCTCGTGTCCCCTGAGCCAGCAGCTTTTCTCCAGATGCTGAACCCTCTCGATGTGTATTTGTCTTTGCCATGAAGCTGTGACTGTGTCACAAAAAGTGATTGTCTTTGTGTAGCTTTTTAGGGAATACTGACAAAGGCAGCTGCTGAGCACAAGGTGTGATTATGTCAACGGAAGCTAACCCTGAATTGCAGGCAGGTAAAAGAGACAAAGTTGAAAGAGACAGTCCTCTGACGTAAAATAAACCCCAACTTTGAACCACTAATGCCATTCTGGGGAACATTCCTTGCTATTGGTGACATGGTTTCCATGACTAAGAGTAAACGTTTATGCCTCCTGCCTGGCCCTGGGCTTGTTTAACACCCTTCCTTGCTGCTGTGACACCTGTTTCGGCAGCTCCCGCAGGGCGCAGCGCTAACGTGGCCAGACAGCAGCCTCTGGTAATGCCAGTAACCAAGGTGATTATCCCCACTCAGGCACTGCAACAGAGCCCTCACTAGCTGTGATTGGATGAGAGAGCCTTATTTAGCTGAAGAGGGCAAGTGCCTAAAATTGAAGAGTTGGAAACTGTGTACTCTGGCAGTGCTGAGGCTAATACACATCCCGCCTGGAAGACTTGATGTAGAGACAAGAGGAGGAGAGGATGACTGGTAATTAGGTGCTCGCGTCGGGGTAAGGAGGGTCAGAAATGAACTTAAACCTAGGTGAAACTGTCAGGCTGGGCACAAATGTTACCAACAAGACCCCATTTCCCTTTGCTTTTGGGAGG